GCAGGCTATATCCCAGGCAGCTTTAAGTCCTACTAAGTAGAGAAGCAAATGAACAGACTGGTGGGGTGAGCTAGCAGTCCTCACCCCCACCTGGAGGAAAGGAAGAGAGCCAGGCCTGAATAGCAAGGCGTTCCTTTCCAATGCCTCTCCCTCTCCCCATTCCCTTGCCATATTGCTTCGCCCACCCACCTGGCCCATCCCCTGGCCATGCTTGGCTTCTCCATGTACTGTTTCAGAAAACATCACTTCACTTGAGGAGTAAGGAGGTGAGAACACAATCTCTGTTCCAAAGCAAGGGCAGTCAAGGGGGAGAGGCAATGCTGGCCTAAAGAAAGGGAATAATTTAGATACTGTGAAAGGTACTTCAGTACTCCTGGTGCCTCTTACCTTATAAGACAAAATCAACTGCTTCCAGTCTTCCCTGCCCTGTTTAGAAGCCTGAATTTTTTTTTTTTTTTCTATAAAAGCCACCTACTCATCTCACCTCAGAACTTCAGGCCAAGATGCAAGAAGGGTCAGCCATGGGGCTGGGCATAGCAGGGTTGTTGTTGTTAAGTGCTGTGGAGTTGGTTCTGACTCATAGTGACCCTGTACAGGGTTTCTGAGGCTATAAACCTTTACGGGAGCAGAAAGCCTCATCTTTCTCCCTGGGAACAGCTGGTAGTTTCGAACTGATGACCCTGAGGTTAGCAGCCCGATTCGTAACCACTATGCTACCAGGGCTCCTTGGGCATAGCAGGGTAGAGCTACTGACTCTAGCAGCCAGGGGTCAGAAGGAGGAAGTGGGATGGCAGAACAGATTTAAAATGCATAGATACTCTCTCTTTCCATCCCTTCTTCTCAGAACACTCCCTTGCCCAGCAGAGATTGACCTAGTGAAGACACTGGGCTGGGCTGGACTGGGTTGGGATCATTTTTTATTTTAGCATTGAATTAAATGAATTTATACAGCAAACGTCAGAATACATCTAAAAGTATCTAGTGAGTGCTCAGCTCCAATAGGGACTCAGTGAATGTCAATTCTGGGTCACTTAGTTGAATCCCTCAGCTGGGGGTGGAGCCACATAGGGTGAAGGTCAGGGAGACAGGCTCTGGGGGAGGGGAGAGGTTCAGGTCTCTAGTCCCTGCTTTTAGAACTGATGAGGGGACCTCTGGAGACCTCTTCCTTGATTTCATTACTCCTACTTCCTCTCCTAACTGGATTAGATGGCAGTCTATGAAATCCAGGGCATCAAGATTGGCTTTCTGCCTGGAAATGAGGAGAAATGTCATTATGGGTCCTGAATCAGCATTTCACCCTGGCTCTGGGCAATAGGGAGTTGGTCTTTGCCCTGGATGAGTAAAATAGTTATTCACTCTTTCCTTCACCCTCTCCTGTATCCATACAATCATCCAATACGTATTGTAGTGTGTCTCTAAGGTCAACCTGATGTTCAGCTGTTTCAAGCAGGAGATGAGATGTGGGGTTTTTCCTATCTGAAATGTAGAATCAGAAACGCTCCAATTTTCTGGCTGTGATGCTACACAGAGATGCCAAGGTGTATTCACAAGACTTAATTTCAATAGGGAACCCTCAAAGGGATCATGGCCCCTTTCCCATCCCCAAACCATAGCTGTGTAAAGGAGCAGGTAGGAGAGACAAGCCAAACTTGCTGGGAAAAGCAAGTCTTGGTTAGGATTTGCACTAAGTGGTCTGCAAAGTTCATCCCAGGGACTCTATACTCATGGAGGGCGAGGGGCTGTGTGCTGGTAGTCAGGGGACAGGCTTGCAGGGTATGTCCTTTGGTTGTTTGAATGATTACATATTTCTGAGTGCTTCAGTGTACAAACGAACAAACAAAAAACAGAGGGAATAGAAGCAAATGCTGTTGAATGATGATGCATGGAGGGGATTGCAGTCATTGCAATGAAACAAAATACAGTAGGATGAATGTAAAGCTGATGTTCTCCCATGTAAACTATCACTCAATTCACAATAAAAACTTCAAAAAAGTTCATCCCAGAGTAACCCAGTGCCTCCTCTTCCCAACCCCACAGTCTTTTTATAGCTGCATTCTATTTGGAACTATCTATCCTTATACCCATTTGACAGAGGGGAAAATGAGACTGAGCTAGATTGGATGCCTCTATGTGCTCATATAAGGAGCTTTGGTAACATAGTGTTCATGAGTCGGGTTGCTAACCTCAAGGTCAGCAGTTTGAAACTACCAGCTGTTCCATGGGATAAAGATGAGGTTTTCTGCTCCTGTAAAGATTTACAGCCTCAGAAACCCTATACAGGGAACCAACTCCATACCACCACCACCACCATGTCCTCATATCCCTTATTCTACTGGCACAAGACTTCATGGTATTGAATTACTGCAAACTAAATGTTTAAAGGGCATAAAAGATTTATTATTTAATGAACCCCAGTGGTAAACTCAAGAGTATTGCCCTAGTTTATCTGACTCATATGTGTGGACTTTCATGTCGAGTATGTAAAGACAAGTCCAGCTGTAGTCATTGTACTGCTGTTCGTTTAGAGCCAGGCATTGGACCTTCTAACCCAATCTGTCCTGATTGGCATTGTGTCCATTGCTCTACTTATTTTTAGCATAATATTATAAATAGTAGAATAATTTGTGGCAGAGAGGGAGTTCCAATATCTGATACAGGATGGGAATGGGCACCCTTGAGGGTCTCATCAACTCTGAAATTAGATGATCTTTGAAATTTTGGCATATTTGCCTCCATTGCATGAGACCAGAAAAAATGGGTGGTGATAATTACTGAAGTTTTGATTAAAAATGCCATAGAAGGACCCTGATCAAAAGGAGGGAAAAAAGACCAGAATTTGAAATTCTCATTTGAAATAGACTTTCTGGATCCATGGAGGCTGGATGAACCCCTGAAACTCCTAACCTTAAACCAAAATTATCCCCTGAAGCCTTCTTAAAAGCAAACATTAGTTTAGTTTAACTATCAGAGACTGTCTGCCTTGAGCATTGTGCTCTTTCAAGATCTAGCTATCTATGGGATCAAACTGACAACAACGTGAAAGATGAAAGAGAAACTAGGAGGCAGTTACTTTATATTAATGAGGGAGGAACAATTCAGAAAAGGGAGGTGAGAATGAATCAATGGCACTGAATTGTACGTATAGAAAGTGTTGAGTTGCTGTATGTTTTACCGTGTATATTCTCAATAATATATATTTTTTAAGTAAAATGGCTATATTTTAGGGATAACCACCTATTTCAGAGATATAAAGTAACTATTCCCTAAGGAAAGAGTATAAGATATGCCCCAAGTGTGAGTCACTAAAAGTTTTGTTAGGAAAACAAAATCACAAGCAAGTCCGGAATTACCAGTATGATACCACAGCTAGCCGACTGGAAGAACCCAGAAAAGCTGCAAACATTGACTCAAGGCATCAAGACTTCCTGGAAGGGCTAGTATTTGAGTGAGGTCAGATTCTAGACAAGCAGAGAAAGTCCAATAGCCATGACACGTAGGAGACTAGGGAAAAGGACATCAAAAGAGAAAGAAAACCATCATGTATATAGAACAAAAAGACTTAGCTTAATAAGTGATAAGATTAGAGGATGGCAAAGGAAATAAAATGGAACGTAGCTATACATAGCAAAGTGTGTGGGGATTTTAGAGGTTGCTCTGGTAGCATAGTGGTTACAAATCAGGCTGCTAACCTCAGGGTCAGCAGGTCAAAACTATCAGATTTTCCGTGGAAGACAGATGAGGCTTTCTGCTCCTATAAAGATTTCCAACCTCGGAAACCTTGTACAGAGAGTCGCTATGAGTCAGAACCGACTCCATGGCACATAACAACAACAACAACTGCATGGACATCAACCATCAACACTCATGGAAGCAGCAGTCAAGAAATCACACGATGTTTTGCATTGGGCAAATCTGCTGCACAAGACCTCTTGAAAGTGGTTAAGAGCAAAGATGTCAGTTTGAGGACTAAGGTGCCATGGTATTTTTAATAACTTCATATGCATGCAAAAGGTGGATAGTGAATAAGGAAGACCATAGAAAAATTGATGAATTTGAGTTATTGTGTTGACGGAGAATATTGAAAGCACCGTAGACTGCCAAAAGAACAAATAGATCTGTGTTGGAAGAAATATAGCCGGAGTGTTCCTTGAAAGCCGGGATGGCCAGACTTTGTCTTTCATACTTCAGACATATTGTGAGGAGGGACCAGTCACTGAAGAAGCATATTATGTTTGGTAAAGTAGAGAATCAGGGAAAAAGAGGAAGACCCCCCAACAAGATGGATTAACACAGTGGCAGCATCAGTGGGCTCAAACGTAGCAACGATTGTGAGGTTGGCTCAGGACAGGCAGTGTTTCATTCTGTTGTGCATAGGGTCACTATGAGTCAGTACCAACTCCATGGCACCCAACAACAACAACTGCATGGAGTTGGAGGGCACAGGTGACATTGTTTTTGGTTTTGTTTTTAATAAATTTTTATAAATCTCCTATAATGAGTCAAATATGAGGGACGAACAAGATCTCTGCTTAGATGGAACTCACATCCTAGTGTAGGCATTGGAATAGGGAGGTAGATACTAAATTAGTTCTCTGGCAGATAAGTCCTACCACCACAGCGAAGTGGGATTATGTGGATGAGAGTAATCTGGAGACATGGTTGCTTTAGACAAGGAGGTGAACAAGGCCTCTCTGAGAAACTCACATCTGAGCTGAGACCTAATGGTGTAAAGGGAACAGCCGCATAAAGATCCAGGAGGCTCTCCAGACTGAACAGTCCAGAAAGAATTTGGATTGTTGGGAGGATACCAAGGAAGGCATAATGTGATTGGTTCTTAGTGAGCAAGGAGGTAGGTGGTAGAAGGTAGATGGGTGAGATCATGCAGGGCCTCTTGAATCATGGGGAGGAGAGGCTCCAGGGTATATAGCAAGTGCACTTACATTAAAGTGTGTGAGTAGACAAAGGACCTTCTGAAACTTCTCTGCACCTTCTCTTCACAGAGACCAGAAAACTTCCTGACATCAAACAACAGCATGGCTCTGCCCACCCTGGATCCTAAGATTCTGGATGAGAATCTGGGTACCATCTGTGAATCTTGGTCAAAGTCCACAGGGAGCTCCAGATTGAACTCCAGCACATCCATTCCTCAGGAAGCAGAAGAAGAACCCCAAGTGCCAGAAATGTCTAATGAAAAGGTGAGTGTGTCTCCCTAGGAGGAAGGACCGGAGCCATGATAGAGGTTATGGGGAAGGTGCATCCCTGCACCTATGAACCTTGCTCACTGCCGGGGTCTGACCTCGACATAGTTGTCACGAGTTTTTGGTTCATGAGGAGGGGAGATCCAGCGGCGATAGGGATAGCGAAAGAATACACAGACAAACAGAAGAAGGGAGACAATGAGGCACCCCAAAGCCAGGGTGGATACATCACTGGTGGGCAGGCTTGGGACTACAGGCATCATGGCCTCTGTAGGCAGCGACTCACTGCCCTGCAATCTTTAATGCATGCCTTCCAACCCGTAATGCACCGCAATCTTTACTCCATGCCTTCCAACCAGTAATGCACTGATCTTTACTCCATGCCTGCCAACCAGTAATGCACACCTGGGGAGGCCCGGGCCTCTGTTTTATTTAGGGGAGGAGTTTCACATCAAGCTGGGAGGGACTAAAACAGGATACAGCTAACATCAGTAATTTTCCAGACATTCAGCTAACTTTACATTGTACTTCACTGGTTCGAATCCCAGGCCAGCAACTTGGATTCTCAGGCCCAATTAACATATCTATAGCCCCTGAGGTCAGTTGGGGGAAGTTGAGAGTTCTGCAGGAGACGCCCAGGTGAATGGGCTGCACCTGGAAAAGGGATTAGGGAGGATGGGTTCTTTGTCTATAGAACAAAGAACCAAGAAGTAGCTAAGATATTTTTAGTTAATCCTTTGGAGAAAGGTTTAACCTTGCAACCTTTAGTCTTGGCTTTAGGAAAATATCACATTTATCTGTGGATTTTCAAAGGCTCCAGTGTATTAATTTAATATATATACCTGAATATTAATATGAAAGCAATTTGCCATTAACTGCCAGTGGCCTCATTTGTTACACTCAGCCCTAGAGGGCCTCGAACCTCTGACTAGTCTTACACGGTCTGCAACAGCTCACTCCTTAGGTGGCAAGTCAACCTTCCCTTAGGTGTACTCAGTATGTGAGTGACCCCAATGATAAACTTGTAGAAGGTATGGATTCTTCATTTTTCAGAGTTTCTTCACCTTATGAATGAAGCCTCCACAGAATTTTCTTTCAAAACAACCCCCTCCAATGCTTGTAAGACAGGGTTCCATTTACTCAAGAAGTTACTAACTCAGAACTTCCTTGTTCATCAGGTAATGGGAGATTATGTTTTACTTCCAAAAGGAGAAATCAGGGCTCAATGAAAAGAGGACACCATCTTTGGTCACAGAGTCTGTGTCCTTGACCATGGGAGCTTGGTTTCTTCCTGGTATCAAGTTGTCAGATGTTCGAGAAGGCTCAGTGGAGATGAGATGGTGTCTTAATCTCATAAGGAATCGCAGGGGATGCCTAAAAAATAGGACACCAAAGAGTCAGTCTAGTAGAGTCAAAATTCCCAATTGAGTTCTTGTCCCAAAGGCCATGAGTGAATTCACGTGCGGCGTCCTCCCTTCTTCCACAGCGGATCCCCTGGGGAACGCTGCTCCAGAAGAGGCTGCGAAAAGATCCCAGCCAAGACTACCAGCCACTAGAAAAGCCCTGGGCATGCTCCTCTGAGGATCTGCCCCCCTATATTGACAGCCTCCCCATTTTCCCCTGGCACTTCTGCACCTTTCTGAAATATGTCCCATCCGATGACTAGAAAGGGTCATTCCCTGTCTGCTGGGTGTGAACAAGATGCTCCTGCATGTCCACCTTGGAGCAGGATCCTTCCTATCAGTGATGTCAGGCACCACAATAGTTATGGGCCATCTTCTGCAAATCTCTCCTCTCACCTCTGCTCTTCAGGAAAACAGCGCTCAGGCTTAACCTTCTAGCTCAGCCAACAAATGGGTTGAAAATCAAGATCTTGTCTTTGGAGAGTTCCAGCAGCATGAATAAACCTGCTGTCTCCAACAGTCTGGTCCTATGACTCCCTCTACTTGTACCTCTGAATAGAGATAGTGGAAAAGAGAAGGTGTCATCAAAAGGGAAAGGCAGACAGGAAGAAAGCAGAAAGGCAAAAGCACTTTTCTCCCTGTCTCAGCACTTCTTCCTTCATCTCTCCAGCTCTGCCTTCTGGGAGTGCACCAGTTAGCTTCCTCCCTCATTCAATTAGGCTTCTCCTCACTCAGGATCCCTCTCAGCCCCTGTATCATACCACTTCTGGGAGCAAGGCCCTTGCCTGGCTAGACAAGTCTCTGGTCTCAACCATCTGGTCACTGAACATAAGCAGGACCAAGGAGAGGGCAGTACCGACTCTGGCTTCCGACACTGTACATGGCAGAGGTTTCCTGGTTTGGGTTTAGTGGTGATTTCTGCTGGGCAAAGAATCTAAGGTCTGAGTTGAGACCCACAAGTCTGAGGGTGGAGATAGTTTGAGAGACATTAATACTGTGGACTTGTTTGGAGGAGATAGGACATAGATAGGGGAATTGGTTGGGTTAATCTTCATTCTGCTTCTAAAATTCTGTGATAATGATGATGATGAATAAAGGTAGAGAGAAGGAGGAAAACAAGGCTGAGAAGGAAAGAGCCTTTAAATATAGAGGGGATCAGATATGTGGGGATTTAAAACCATATTGGTAAAATATCTAAAATATTTCTTCTGAAATAATAAAATATGGATATGCTATTATGCCCATATAATAACACAGGTAGTAGATCCTTGATCTTAAGGATTAAGTCAAAAGAAGTAAAACTAAACTGCAGCTTGAGAAGTCAAGATTAACCATCAGGAGGAACTTTTTGAGCAAGAGAGTTTAGCCATTATAAGTCAGAATGAATAAGAGAAATATGTGTCCCAAGGTCACTAAGACAGGATTCTAGAATGCTTTTCATTTAAGTGACAACCAGGGGACTCAGAGCAACCCCATAACTAGAGACGTCTAAAGAAGTCATGAGTTCGGTGTATATCTAGAACTTACCCAAGCACATCTACCCTGGACATCACCCAGAAATCCTATCAATGGACTTTGTACCCATCGTCCCTCTCCTTCCACCTTGCTGATGCCTAGCCCTGATTTGCCAGTGGGTTAGGTTCACTTAGCCACCATCATTCATCCCTTAAACTAAAGCAGAGATGTCTTCCTCACCTCTGGGCTCCAGGACCCAGCCCAGGTGTGGTCCAATATACACCCTGAAAAACTTGTTGGATCCCATAGTAGAATCCACAGTTAGACAGCTAGGGCATCTGATGGAGCCTTAGAGCAAATCTGTCTGATCCTTCACTTTGAAAAGAGTGACAGCGAAGAGGCCCAGAGGTGTTACATCTGTCCAAGCTTTCCTGATCCTGCTCTTCCATCTGCCTTGCATACAGAGCCAAGGAGAAATATCACATGGCTACTGAAACTTGCATACCCAGCCCTGGGCCCTTCTGTCAAGATCAGATTCCCGCAGATAGTCACATAGTATTCAGGGCAGTTGTCCCGACCCACTGTTCCCTCCTAGTTTTCCTAACTGTCAGAACCATCCTCTTTATCCTCTCACCACTGCCCTTCAGTCCTCTAACTCACCACTTCTCTCTCTCATACACTGGGCTCAGATTGACCATGCTGGCTATTCCCACCTCTGACACTTTTCCCTAGTTGGACTGTGGAGACTCAGCCCCAAATTCCAGCTACTACCCTTTCATGTGCTAGCAGATTCCAGTTACAATCAATAGATTGTGGGTGGGTAGCAACAATATAGAGCTCTATAACAATTACAGGTAGCCATGTAGTCGTGGATCCCTGTTACATAGCAACCAAGCAAAATTACATAGCAATGAAAGAACGCATGCAACCAAGAGGCATGATGACAAGCAATAGATGGGTTATGGAGCAGCAAAATGTAATTGCATAGCAATTAACCCAACTCAGAGAGTGATGCCACACATCCCTGTATAGCAGGTGAGTACATTCACAGGGCATCGTAATAAGCATAGACCATGATTGCATAAGCTACAGACAGGCTCGTGGAATCGTAGACGATAGTTGGAGAGAATAGAAGGCATTGGGGTAGAAATGCTACAGTCACACACCGCCCACACATGTCATCAGGGGCTGATCGCCCACAGTGCAGCCTGGAGTGGAACACTGGCATGGTGGTGTGACAGTGGTAGTGTAGTGGCCACATGATTGACCCCCTCCCTCAGCTCTCGTCACTGTCCCATAGCCTGTGAGCCTTTTGTCATCACCTGATTTCCGGAGCATGTTTGAATGTGTCTGGTCTTTACAGCACATCCTCTAGAGCTCACAAAATGCTTTTGCCTCTGATTCCCTCCAGAGCCTACTTTGGCTTATAGGAAAATGAGCGTTTTCAGGACAAAGCACCTTGGGAATGGAGGAGGGAGTGGAGGGATGCAAGGGCTGTGCCCTCTGGAGAGAGGAGGGGAGGGGAGGAAACCATGGATGCTCCCTGCTGCCCTAGGCCCATCAGTCATCACCTCCAGCCCCACCTAATCCTACCTAATCCCCTCCCATATTGTGTCTTGATGTGCCTTCACTCTGGGATGTCAATCCAGCCATTTCTTCCTGTTTTGGTCTCTCTTCATCTAGGACCCCTGGTTTTGATGCAGACTTTTCAAATGCTATTTTGTCAGGCATGCAAAGCTCTGGTCCTGATAGGCTCCTTGGGGTCAAGGCCTCACAGATATGGTCATGGCTAGGTGTAGGTCCTTG